TTAAACATGTTTCATTTCTTAAAAGTATAGTATAAATGATAAGTGGTTTTAATAGTTCTAATAGAAACTTGATTGTCTTTGCACTTAATTTTAAAATGCTTGATGTATCTTAAAGGAAGTCAGTAATTTAGTGTCTTTGAGCATAATGATATTTTGCTGGATTTTTAATCCATAGGCTGTTCTGAAATGCTGATGGCTCATGCTGTGACACAGCTTGCCAATAAAACACCTGGTAAAGAAGCTGTTGCAATGGAGTCTTACGCTAAAGCACTGAGAATGGTAAGTTTATAAAAATAAGAGATCTGAATTTAAACATTGCTGGTATTGATGGGTTTTAAGTGAATATAATTTTCTGTCTTGGATAGAAAATGTTTTTCTTGGCTTTAAGAAAAAGGACTGGTTCATACCACTTTTAAATTTGATTCTGGAGTTTATCCTGTTTTAAGAGCAGTAATTAAAAGGAAGCAGATTTTACAGTGTTTCCAAATGTATAATTTTAAAGAGCTAAGCTAGTTAGGAGTAAGTGAATTATACTACAATAGATAGTTAACATTTGTCTTCTTCACTTCATAGTTGCCAACTATAATAGCTGACAATGCAGGCTATGACAGTGCAGATCTGGTTGCACAGCTCCGAGCTGCCCATAGCGAAGGCAATACAACTGCTGGACTGGGTAAGAAATCAGTTGGAACCTTGTACTTGTTTAGAGTAACGCTGTACCAAGTTCTTTACTTTTTTTTGAAGATGAATTCTCATAATAACCTTATAAAAAGACTCCTGTGGACCTTGCTTTGTAACCATTATATATATAGTCTAGGAAAACTTCATATTTTCAACACTGCCAAACTTTGTTATTCCATAAAGAGTACAGATCTAGTTAGAAGATTTGTAACTAGTTTTGTATAACTATAGAATTTAACTACATAAGCAATACTTATACTCTGAAATAAGTGTCAAATTTGCTATAGCTCTTACAATCAGCATTAAGTCTTAATCTCTCAGTAAACTTACTCTGTGACATTCTTTTTATTTTTTTAGATTTTATTGGGCAATTGGGGGAGGGGAACAATGTTAGAGAATTGGGGAAGGGGAACAACCAAGTTGTCCTTCAATTTTGGAGGGCGCAGCTAGCTCAGCTCCAAGTCCATTCACCGTCCGGCCGCCCGTCGTCAGCTCGTGGCCGCCCAGCTCAAGGTGCTATATTACTTGTGGGTGGGCATTAACCCACCATCCCATGGGGAGTCAAACCAGCAGCATCGTTAAGAGCACACACTGTATCCACTGAGCCATCCATGCAGCAGCTCAGCTCAAGGTGCTGAGTTCAGTTTTAATTGTGGGCGGGCATAGCCCACCATCCCATGTGGGAGTCGAACCAGCAGCCTCGTTGTTAAGAGCACACGCTTTATCCATTGAGCCATCCATACGGCAGCTCAGCTCAAATTGCCGAGTCTTTAGTTGCGGGCAGGTGTAGCCCACCATCGAACAGGCATTCTTGTTGTTAGGAGCATGTGCTCTCACCAGCTGAGCCATCCTGCCACCTGTTGACAGCTCAGCGGCAGCTCAGCTTGGGCGCAGCTCACAGACCCATGTAGGAATCGAATCTGCAACCCTGTTGCTGAGAGCTTGCTCTCTTAAGGAAGTTCTTAACCAGCTGAGCCACTGGCTGGCCCACTCTGACATTCTTTTTTTTAAGATTTTTATTGGGGAATTGGGGGATGGGAACAGCACTGGGGAATTGGGTGAAGGGGAAGAGACAAGTTGCTGTCCTTTTGTTCTTCAGTCTAGTTGTGGAGGATGTTGCTTCACTGGCCCAAGTTGGTACCATCATTGCGCTCTTCCCGGGTGAGGCAGATCAGTCGCCAGCTTCTGGACGGCCGCTCACTGTGGCTGCTGGCCGCTCACGTTGGCTGCTGGCTACACACGGTAGCCCATGGCAACCCACTGCAGCAGGGGTTGCAGCCTGCCATCGCCGGCAACTCAGCTCCAGGGTGAGCTGTTGTTCAGCATCTTAGCTGTAGAGGGCAGTGTCACTGGCCCTCATGTGGGATCCGAACCGGGGTCCTCTGGCGTCCCAAGCCAGCTCTTAACCAATGCGCCACTCGGCCGACCCAGTCTGTTACGTTTTTGAGTGCAGATCACTGATACATAGATAAAAGTGGCCAAAAAGCAGATTTAATTTAGATTGGAGAATTTCCCAACAAACTATCCAGGATATTACAGGAATAGTCTTAAAGAGGGTAGATAATCCTGTCACGGGCAAGAGAGAGTGCCGATGGATAATCTGCCTGAAGATGAAGTACAACTCTCACAAGAGAAATAGGTGACTTCTAAATTCTCCCCTCCAGTTCTTAAGAATTCATGGTAATTAGTGATAGACAAATTTTCTGAATAATTTTACATACATATGTAGATGAATATTTAGTGTTATGTATAAATTTTTCATTATTTGACAAAGTTGCCCTCCATTGATACAAATAATTAGTAGTTGACCTTTTGATTTTCTAAAAGGCTTATCTTGAGTGAGAGTTGAGTAATTAGGTTTGTAATTCGGTTTTTCACAACAGGATTAATTTTATTTGTTATAAGTCGTTAGAGGTGTTCTGCTACTTCAGTTAAAACTATAGTTTACAGGGGCCAGCCAAGTGGTTCAGTTGGTTAAGAGCTCACTCAAGAGTGCGAGCTCTGAGCAACAGCAGTTCGATGCCTGGCCCGACCTGAGCTGCCAACAGGTGGCAGGATGGCTCAGCTTAAAAAATAATAATAATAAAAAAAAACAAACTATAGTTTACTTAATAAATACTTTTTCTTTTCAGATATGAAGGAAGGTACTATTGGTGATATGGCAGTACTGGGTGTAACAGAAAGTTTCCAGGTGAAGCAACAGGTTCTTCTGAGTGCAGCTGAGGCAGCAGAGGTGATTCTGCGTGTGGACAACATTATCAAAGCAGCACCACGGTATTGTAGCATTTCATAAAACATTTCTTAGAAAAAATTATTAACATGGAAACAGAAAAATAGGTAGCTGCATATATTTGATAATGGTAGTTGATAGAAAGTATAGCCATTTTTGCTTAGATAAAAGTATTATGTAAGTTATTTAAAATATGCAATCACAACTCTTAGATTTAAGCCAGAAAAGCTTAGAGGGAGTAGGGTATGACAACACAGGTTGGCCCTCAGGATTGAAATGGCACATAATGAGCCAGGCTTGGAAAAGTCAGGAACCAGAGAGCTTGGGGGCAGGGGTGTTTACGTTGTAAGAACTGATTTTTTATCATCATGATGGGTTAGCTCTAGTCATTTTCTGTCTTGGGTATACTTTTCCGTATGAACAGCCTTAAGCATATAATGAGCAGAGTACGTGTTCTATATCAGCAGCTTTCCTAAGATTCTTCTAAAAACTCTCTTCAAAATTCTTTTAAAAACTCATTCACACAAAAATGGTTAAATGGCCAGAAAACCTTAATACTTGAAATTCTATGAGTGTCAGCTATCCTATACTATTAGAGGAAGGAAAGAGTAGAAAATAGTGATTTGAATATGGAGACTACAGATGAAATGGTATTTGAATCTACTGTGGTGTAGTGGAAAAAAGACTGGGCTGAAAAATCTAGAAATTCTCTGCTCCTGGTATTGGGAGGATAGGGTAATGGGAACACTCATATTTTGGAATGGAAAACGGGTGAGGGAAGGAGAGAGAAATTGACAAATTTTTTTTAGAAGTAGAGCCACCAAAGATGGTTAAACACAATTATGTGTTCTATTGTCTTAAGAAGAATGATAGCAAAAGGAAACCGAGTTCTGTAATTAAGCTTTTCTGACTTGGGGTCAAGGTTACATAGCCACACTTATACTCAGAAATCTTCGCAATAATTCAGCGCCCTCAGTCACATTTGAAATATACACTATAATACCTGATTTGATCTGGTAACACTTTAGAGGCTTGTGTCTATTAAATGTAATAGAAATTCTGATATACTGGGCTGTGGACTTCTTTTCATACTAGTTAACATAACCTCCAGGGGACTCATTTTCCAGATCAGTACCCTGTAACAGCTGCTTGGTAATTTTTTCTCTATTGACATCCTTTAGTCATACTCCCTTAAGCTACTGAGGTTGGAAGGGTTTCTCTTTATGTGATCCCAGTATGCTGTACTCTTTGGGTCTCATTTTATGCTTTTTCTGCTTCTCTTAACTGTTGTGCTTGCCTCTAGAAGCAATGTTTCTAAAGCCCTAACTCCTTGAACAGGCATTAAGTAAAAAAATTGCACTAGTACCCCTACCCTGCCCCCTTCCTAAGCAATTCACTATATGGTTACCAGAGAATAAAAGTTTTAACATCTAAGATGTGAGAGGTGCTATTGGCATACTTTAGTGAGTTACTCTACACCATCACCAGCTTATCTTTTGGCATTTGTTTTCTTCATTTAGAATAATGATCCAGAGATTTTCATCTAGAGGCACCAAAGCCTTGTCATTTTACAACTTCTGGTTAAAACTGTCTTTAACTCATTTAGTAAAATTCCCCAGCACATACATTAGTTGAAAACAGGAATTAACCGTTTTCTGGAGAATATGTATGTGTTAAGTAGGTCGTTTGGGTGAGAAGTTGAGAACTGCCAAATAACTACAGGCCTTCGTATTCCACGGGTTTTGTAATGTTCTCTTACTAATAAAATGATAATTGAAGGAATTAGTAATGAGGTAGAAACATCTTGTTATAGAGAATTGTGTTCTTAATAAAATTAGGATTCTAGTTGTGTTTGTATTTAATATAAACCTTTGGCTACAGTCATGCTTTTCAGTTTCACCATTGACTCTTTTCTGAAGTGTATGTTGTGTAATCCTTGCAGGAAACGTGTCCCTGATCACCACCCTTGTTAAGCATTCCTATATGCTGTGCTCTGGACCAGTTCATAGCAAAGTTATGTTTGAAAGACTTCGACTTCTTAAAGAAGACTGTGGAATCGAAGTTTATCTGTGGTTCTTATATCCTTAAGTTTGGACATTTAGCTCATTTAGCTGACCTTTTATTTTAACATGGGTCTAATTTATTTGCTGTTCATTTACCATAAAATTCAGTTGATAGAAAAGTCCATTTCTCATACTGTGCATCAAAATAAAAAATTGAACAATTACTTAGTTCTTGTCTTATGTGATTTGTGCCCTGATAACTATTTAAATGGAAATGAATGATTATAATATAAGTATAGAGTTGTTCCAGCTTAACTACTGATTGACCTTATACACTTATGAAGTAATTATCTTGATTAATATAAATCCAAGTCAAATGTGATAAACATACACTAATCTTTTGGTTCTCAATTATACATAACTTTAATTAACGAACCATTTATTTTTTACTTAGTGAAAGTACCGTAGTCTTCAGTACTCATTGAATTTTTTGTAGTCTAAGTACTGTCTCTCACATAGGAAAAACTTGTGGTTTCTGTTACATTATGTTTGAAAGAGTCATTTTAAATATTCTTTAAACACCTCTGAGGCTTTATAGAATAATGCTGTCTTAAAGAAGATGGTTCAGACTTCAGCATTTTTATTGATGTCAGAGTTTTGTTTTTGTTTTTAACAAATGGATCTAGAGAGAGAATGAGAATGGGTATAAATATGTACTGAGTTTAATGGTGAGTTTAGATTTGGAGGTAGGTTTATCCATCAGTGTATAGCAGAATGCACAAGAAATAAAATGAGAGCGCCCAGCAGTAGGTTATGGGTTTTTACTGAGTATCTCTGTGCTAGCATCACGGGAAGACATTTTATTCCCATAGAGGAGCAAAAGGATTTTCAGAGAAACTGATAAAGCAACCTTTTTTGTTTTTGTCTAAAAGTTTGTCTCAACATTTTAATACTATGTAGAAGCTATTAAAACTGGAAAAATTTGGTTTTCTTTGTTGTGATACCAGTTGATGTCCTCCAACATTCACATAAAGGAGAAACTTGCTGAGATCACCAAACAATTATATTGATTTTATTTTTTCATTTTTAGAAACAGTAATAGCAGTACTGTTTGCTGTGTAATTTTTTAAAGTACTTTTTCACACATGGTAACAGTTTTCATCCCTCAGCTCAGGTGGAGCAGGTAAAGATATCATGACCAAGAAAACCTGCAGAGGTTTCAGTGGGAGCAGTGGGTTTAAAGCATCTATCCTGAGCTACCAGATAGCCTAGAGTAGGAATTTCCTTGGGCACATTTTCTCCAGAGGTCTTACAAAGGATATACCAGTTAATGTTTATCTATAAAGAGGTAGAAACAGCTTAATTGTTACATCCAACAATACACCCATGCCTCTTTCCCTCTTTGAATTCATATCCTTCGAAGCCCTACAGATTTTGTTACAGCCCTAGATATCCCAAGTTAACAAGTTTTAAAATGTTTTCAGCTTTAGAGGTAAAGTTCCAACCTAGGCCTCTAATTTCTTGCGTTTTAGAATGGAGTTTCTGTTAAGTAAGAAATAGCAAATATGGAGCAGTGTTATTTTTGACTTTCATAAGACATTTTGTGACATGGAAAGAGATTTGGAATATACATTAATGGTTACTGCATAGAAAATCGTCTAAATGCTCAGAATTTTTAAATCTATCCTAGTAGCCTTCAGTTTAGTTTTGTTTTTGGAGTGTGCTGGTTATTTTAACTCCTCAAGCCAGGATCTAGTCTTTGCCTGCTTGGAGGCCACGTGGCTTCCCTTTGGTGACTGCTCCACAGCTTCCTGTGGACTAGTTAACTGAGGAGGCCCTGGCAGGAGATGGGGAAGGGGAACCAGTTTTTGCGTCCTGTTCTTGTTCTTTGTCTCTCGAAGTGGCTATATCCCTGCAAGACATACCACTCTATAGCTTTGCTGGGTGGCCTGCCTTACGGCTTTTCAGCTCTTTACTAGATTTGGGTAACATTTCTGTTCCCTGTTTGTTCATTCAGCCTTACAGGTGGTGATAGCTGCTGTTGCTCTTGTCTTGAGTATGTCAGTATTACCCCTTCAGCATTGGTGCCCCCCAGCCCTACCCCCCTTAATATCCTGTGTACTAATAGTTCCTTTGTTAAAGTCTTATGTAAACCATATGGGATAAATGTGTTTTCTTGCCAGGACCCTGACTAATACTGATAAAAGTCAATAGAATACGCTATACAGACTCCTTTTCTAAAATCTGCCTTGTCTTGTACCTACTCTATTAGGACATCCATAGAACAGAGGATGTAAAGAGGACTGAACCTTTTTAAAATCAGAATTACTATGTAACATTTCAGATTCTCAATATGAAGAATAAAGCAAACCTGATTTCAGATTCCTCATTTTTAAATTGTGAGCAGAACCTAACCCCTCTTTCAAAGAGGTATTGAAAAGGTTGTGTGAATTGACTTAGGCAAGACCCTGAGGATAGTACCTAATCTACAGTAGTGTCCCCCTGTCTGGGTGGGCGCATGATAAAACCTCCAAAATTCAGGTAACTTGGTAGAATTGGTCTAGGTATTGGGGATTCAAAGATAAGTATCACCTGTTTCCTGTTCTCCAGAGGTGCACAGTCTAGAAAAAAAAAAAAAGCATGTAAACTTAGTTTTTTAATAGTAATATCCTTTTTATGGTTGTGTGTGCTTTTTTTTTTTTTTACAGTGACAAAAGGCAGAAAGTAAAGTGTCTAGCAGATACACACCCACATCCCTAACCCACGCCTTCCGTCTCATGCCTCCTGCCCCTCACAACACATGGGCTTAGTGCCCAGGAATAGTATGTTTTCAACTACAGCAGTTCCTCTAACGTTTCAACATCATTGCTTTATAACAATGAGATGTGTAGGAACTTAACTCCTGTTTACATCAAATAGCCTACGGTAAACTTGGTTTTGTTGTTTCGCTTAAAGTAGAATCCATCAACATTAAGTGAAAACTTATTGTACTTTGGTGATTTTGCTGATTCTAGGATAACGGGAAGGGTAAAGTATATTCATTTAGATATTAAATGAATCCTTGGTGGTTATGTCTATTTAGGTAAGCCAGAAGCATTTGACCACATTGCAACTATATTTTTCAATATTCAAGTCTATAGATAACTATCGTTGAAAACTTTATTGAAAGGAAAAAAGCCTTTTTTCTTTTGCCATTTATGTTTTTACCTTCAGTGAATTATACTGTAGGGTAAATATAAGTATTGTGCTACATGGTATAACAATAAAATAACATGGTATGTGAACATCAGCTGTCACCTGCCAAGCTCTGTTCTATGTACTTTATAGATAGTAATTTGTTTAATCCTTACAGTGACCTGACAGCTAGAAGGTTAGTATTTTACTGATGAGAAAACTGAGGTACGCAGATGGAAACTGACTAATAAATGGAAAAGCTGGGATTTGAATTTGGGTAGTTTGAAGGCCAGGTTACTGTCTAGATGCATTGAGTTAAAATTCGAGTCTAGTTGATTTTTAGGGCACAAGCCCACTTTTTAAGTGAAATTACAGTGATGTTGCATTTTAGGACAAAAGAGAAAAAAAAACAGGTTCATTTCCATAGAATCCATGTTAAATTTTTTTTCCATGTTAAATATTTTAGATGGCATCATTTGTATTAATGGAAGCTAAAATTTTACACAAATTTCTGGAAGAGATTTTCCTCTGATGCATAACACTTTAGGTTTCATTTTAAAATGAATAAAGTTACATTTGCTGGTTTAACATTTTCCCCTTTTTAACTTTGTAATTGGGTCAGAATTTCAAGAAAACAGAGGGTAATGGAAATGTAAATATGCATTTATAGAGTTACTTTATAAAATTGATTGAAACCCTAGAGTGAAAACATTTTTGAATAGCAAAAGCAGTGGTGAATTCTTAACCATATTATTGGAGAAATGTTTATTTGTTATGTATTGATTATTTTAGAAGAAAACAGCTTTACTGTGTGCCAGAATGTTTATAATTTGACATTTGATTCAGACCAGTCAGCTCGTTAGATGAGAACTCTGTATAGGTGATGTGGCTTCACTTTGTTTTTTGGCTGTAGCCTGCAGCTACACTGGAAAGGCGGCCCTGTTAACCCTGGGAAGGGGAAGGCCGGGTCAAAAGGAAGTCAGAGCCCTCAAGGCTGCCTGTAGATACAGGGCAGAAGGCGGTTCTGTTGGCACAGAGTTTCTAGCATCAACTGAGGGTAGTTTCAATCATTAGGAATGAGAAAATAGACTCTTAAGTTCTAGCTGTCTAACAAATCTGGATTCATTACTCAAGGAGTTAAATGTTTGACATTTAAGGATTAAAAGGGACCCCTTGACAATCTAATCAGTGGGTTACAGATACTCTACAGACTGGGAGGTGGTGGTAGGAAAACACTTGAAAGTAGTCTGCTGTGTAGTCATTTTAGAACCAAACTACTGGGTTAAGATGCTTTTATGGCAAAAGAACGTTTTAAAAGCTGACTAGTTTTAGTTAAGATGACACTGTCCTCGATTGCTGAAAAGGTTTAAGAACATAAAGGATTGTGTTATTAAATCACCCACTGACAGCAGTTTCTTTAAAGTTGATGTATTCATGGGAAGAAGAAAAGGTCCCAGTTTACATACTCAAAAAAATAATGGCTAAATACGAAGTTTATACAAGCTAACCATCAAAAGACCCTATCTACAAACATCAAATCAGAACAAAGGCAGAGATAGTGAGGCGAGAGGCAGAAACTGCCTGTGTACACCACAACCTGCAATTCAGATTTCCAAAGGCTTGTTCAAGTGAACAGGTTTCTCACCGACTGCCATGAACCTGGTATGATTCTGGGCATGTGGTTTCTCTCTGTGGAAGGGGATTCAGCTCAGCTCAGGTTCATTCATGTGAGTGAACAGAAGGGCCGTGCTCCACACAAGCAGCTAGGGTTACAGCTAGGCTTAATTTTAATGAGACCACAATGCCAAAGAGGTTCTACTCTAGGTGACTTCTAGTATTGTGAGGAACAGCAAACAGTTGAGAGCCGACCTTGGGTCAGACCTTGTAGGGAAACCGAGCTAAGTCAAGTGTAAAGCGGTCGCTGGGCTCCACTAGGAGGCATTCTCCATCAGAGGTCTTCACAGCACTCGCTAAACAGTTAAGAGCTTCATCTTAATTAAGCCTTTGCAACAACAAAGTCTGCGAGTCTGATTGACTAGGTAGAAACATCTTTTAGAGTGTCCTGAATTAGTAATATTACTAATTGTGTTTGTGGTCACTCATAGTAAGAAAATACATCCTGCAAAGGGCTGGAGACAGGCCACCTAAACTTTCAGGTGTGCCTTGATCTGTAACCAGGTACCTTATTTGAGGAGCTCCTGAGCCTCATGACCAGCCACTTCTGGAGAGTGGAGGAGGCCGCTGAGTTCCCGCCCTTCTTGCTCTTCACTGGTTCAGAATACCTGCTTGAAGAGGCTGGTTTTCTGGCAAAGAAGTTGTGCTACCTAGAGCACACAACTAACCTTTGAGAGATGTTTGCCTGCTGTTTTTTTTTCTTGTGATTTAGGGATTTCAGCTGACTCCCATCAGCCCCTGCTGGCAGACACCCCAATGTCCCAGGGCAATCTTTGGCACTCTAGTAGCGAAGACGCTAGAGTTGGGCTTTTGGCATTGACCTACCACTGAAGCTCAGGAGTTGGCAGGAGGCAGCAGAGGAGGCGGAGCAGGTGCCTGTGCCTCCTGGCTTTCCTCCGTGACCAAAGCATAGCGCCTGGCTTTTCTAGGGTCAGGCTCTGGCGTCTCCTCTGCCCACCTGCCCACGCGCCGCACGCCTTTGGCCACCTTGGGTGCGTTCCTGCAAGGATTGTGGTCATAGATAATCAGCTTCAGACTTGACAGGTGGGCCAGGCTGGGGAAGTAGCGGATGCTGTTCCGGTCCACATCGATCACCTCCAGGAAGGGCATGTGAAGCAGCACAGGGGGAAAGTCGTCCAGCAGGTTGCCCGAGAGCCAGATGGTCCTCAGCTCCCGTAGGCGCCGGAGCTGGCCTGGCAGCAGACGCAGGGCGTTGGAGCCGGCATGCAGAGTCTTAAGGAGACTGAGCTCACAGACCACATCTGGCAGCTGGGTGAGGCAGTTGGCCTCGACCCACAGGGTCCGGAGATTCTGGAGCAGGCTCAGCTCATTGGGGAGATCACAGAGTTTGTTGTTGCCCAGGTAAAGGATGCAGAGCTGTTTCAAAGTACACACCACCTGGGGTAGAGCCTTGAAGTTGTTGAAATCCAGGGCCAGGATCTGTAGATTCTGCAGCTGCCCCAGCTCCAGAGGTAGGCTGCTGAGGTGGTTGTCACTCAGGTAGAGCTTGACCAGCTCTTGGAAGGAGCACACGTTCACAGGGAAGCGGCGTAGCTGGTTCCCACTCAGATCCACCATCTTGTCCAGCGGCATCTCCTGGAGGTCTCCGACCACGAAGTTCTGGCAGCGTTCAGCGGGAATGAAGGCCGCAAGGGCCTTGATGGTGTTCCCCATGCGGAGGCTGGAGGCATGCTGAGCCCAGCCCTCCACCCAGTGGGCCTGCTGCTGACTGCTGGGAGGCCTGTCCTCCCCTCCCATTATAACCTGGGGGCGGGGTGACAAAAGCCAGTCACTTCAACAGAAAAGTGCTTCTGATAGCAGCTTGAGTGTTGGGTGACAGGCGCAATAGATAGGCAGGGTCCAGGAGGCCCGGTCTGACTCACCCACTTGCTTTCAATCCCCTAAGCCCCAATCCCCTTTATCTACATGTAAAAAAAATTGTTTCAAGTTGAAAATACCTTCACTGTTTTTTCTAATGATAAAACATTGAGATGTTACATAAAGGTGTAAAGGAAGAAAATGAAAAACACCCATAGTTGTACTACCCAAGGATAAATCCTGTAAACATTTTAATGTATGTTCTCCAGCCTTATTGCTACAAGTAATCAATTTGTTTTAAAAAGTTATTCACACTGTTTTAGGAGTCTTATGTTTTATCATCACATATGGACATATGTTTGCAGGTATCTATGCAATTATTATAAACACCTGCACAGTATTCCATTATATGGATGCACCATAATTTAAACAGGTCTCATTTTTGGGTACCTCGGTTGCGGAGAGTGTGTCATTATTACAAATATCTTCGAACATCCAATGTGAGCAGTAATCCACTAATTTCTTTAAGAAACGTCCTAACAAGTGTTCCTGGGTCAAAGATCCTTTTAAGGCATCCTTCAAAGGCTTCTCATTGATAGTGTCTCCCTACCCCTACCAAATCTGGTTCAGTGCATACATACTCTATAGGTATCCATTTTCTTATTTCTTCATTTTTACCAGGTCATAGTTTTCCACATTTAAAAATTTTGCCTTTGACAAAAGTAGAAAAGTAGAAAAAAGAGAAGAAGATAGCTGAAATAAAGGAGGCTATATTCCTACAGGACATCTGTGGCAGACGTTGCTAACTGCCCGTCAAAGATCTGTGCTTCCCCTGACACAGTGCTGAGTTGTAGGGAGCAGCTGTCCAACCCGGACGTTTTCTAGTACCAGCCTAGGGCAGGGAGTCTAATTCTGGCCAGTGGAATGTGGGCAGAAGTGATACTTGTCACATCGAGGCCTGGCTCATTTAAAACAAACCTCACCTTCCTCCTCACTCTTTCCCCATCTGCTAGCTGGACAGCGACACCCAGGGTGACCTTAGAAGCCACCAAGTATGTGGAAGTTACATGTGGAAGTTGGCCAGGCCTTGGTCATCCTGGATCCCTGAGTTAAGTGCTACGGTCAGAACACCTCCCCCCACCCAACACACACACTCCCTACCACTAACTGGATTTAGATAAATGAGAAATAAACTTCAATTATGTTAAGCCATCCAGATCTGTTGGCTTATTTATTAAATTATCTTAATGAATAAAGCAGTTGTTAAAAATGAGATAAAGCTACATATATTGATATGCAAAGATATTCAGGATAAATAAAGTGGGCAAAACAAGTTTCAAAACACTTAAGATCCCATCTACGAAAAAACATGCATAGATTCTTGTATATGCATAAAAGCATCTAAGAAATAACAGTGATTATCTCTGGGGAATCTCCCTGAAGGTGTAGAATTATAAGAATGCTGACTTTTCTATTTATACCCTCTTGTACTGTTTTATTTTTATTTTATTTATTTTTTATATTTTTTAAAGATTTTATTGAGGGAACTGGGGGAGGGGAACAGCGTTGGGGAATTGGGGAAGGGGAACAGACAAGTTGTTTCTTTTTGTTCTTCAGTCTAGTTGTGGGGGACGTCGCTTCACTAGCTTATGTTGGTATTATCACTGCACTCTTCCTGCTGAGACAGTCACTTGTGAGCCATTGGATGGCTGCTCACGGCAGCTCATGAAAGCTCACGCCAGCTGCCGGCCAGCCCCACTGCAGCCTATGCTGTTGCCAGCGACTCACGGCAGCCCAGCTCCAGGTCGAGCTGTTGTTCACCATCTTAGCTGTGGAGGGCAGTGTCACTGGCCCTCATGTGGGATCTGAACCAGGGCCCTGCTGCTCAGAGCTGGCGTCCCAAGCCAACTCTTAACCAATGTGCCATTCGGCTGGCCCTGATTTTTTTTTTTAAACTATAGACATTCACCCCTTATAAATTTAAAAACTGTAGTCCAAAAGAAACAACCCGTCAGCCTCCTCGCTCTCTGGATAAAGTGTCCAGGTTTGGGGGAGGCTTTGTGCTCCCTTTAACCCCCTCTGGGGCCTGTAAGTGGCGTCACTACCCGCCTGCTTTCTGAAGCCAGTGTCCTTGGACCTTGAATGTCAAGGGCTGTTATCTTGAGTCCTCTCCTTGCTTTGTTGGTTTGTATAATAATAACCAGCCTCGCAACAGGTACTGTGCTTTGCCTCTATATTTAGCTTGGCCAGTGGTGACCCACAAATGGCCATGGAGCAACTGCCCCAATGTCATCCCTAGTAATAATGATGATACTGATGGTCTCTCGTTATTTATAATAATCTGCTAAATGCTAAGCACCGTGCCATGTACTTTACATATACTATAATATTTCTTCTCACAACACCTGCTGGATACATATTTTTTTATCCCTAATTTTCAGATGAGAAAACCGAGGCTCAGAGAGGTTTAATAATAACATCAAGTATTGATCGAACATCCACTATGTTCTAGATGCAGGGAATCTGGTGGCTAAGAAGATAGCTAGGACCCTGATCTCACAGAGTCCCACAATTATACCAGAGCACATGCGCGTGTGTGTGTGTGTGTGTGTGTGTGGTGGGCATTCTTCCTGGAGTTAGGTTACACCAGTTGACAAACTCTGAGAGTTGGCAAACGGAGTTTAGAAAGGCCTTTTCCATGAAAGATGGAGATCTTGGCAGGTTTCCTAAGGGATCTGTGCCCCTTCACCCCCCCTCCCACGCACACTGTTCATGGCTGTAGGGTTGAGATCTTGACGGTTCATGAAAAGAGCACTGACCTCTTCATCTGTGCTCTTTATCTCCATTGTGCTCTCACTGACCCCACTCCATTCATTGCTTACTAGTCAGCTGCTGCACTTCCTCTTGGGGCCATGCAAAGCATTGTCACTCCCCACCTCTAGCCTAGGCAGGGGCTTCCAATTCCCATAAAATGAAGCCCAAACCCCTCAACGAGGCTTACAGGACCTTCCAGGATCTGGCCCCTCCCTGCCCATCTCCCCCACTGGACTGTCAGCTCCATGAGGGCAGACATCTGCTGGGACTCACTGTGGGTCTTTACCTCAGTGCCTGGTGCCCGATAGGTTCTCAGCAAGCAGAAATAAACGAGCTGATGCTAACTGGCTATTGAAGTAGGCACTGATTGGCACCCATTAAATTATTGTTTTTAAATACTTAAAGACACCACTGAATATAAGAAAGAACACAGAAGGGCTGCCTGAGTGGCTCAGTTGATTAAAAGCTCGCTCAAGAGTGTGAGCTCTGAGCAACAGGGTCGCCAGTTCGATTCCTGGTTGAGCTGAGCTACCGCTGAGCTGCCAACAGGTGGCAGGATGGTTCAGCTAAAACAAACAAACAAACAAACAAACAAACAAAAGAAAGAACACAGATTTAATTTATTATCCCCTGTCAGTACTGCTACAGATAGTACTTTGTGTACAAACCTTAAATTGTATATATATGGTTGTAATTAATAATGGATTTATAATGTGACATACAATACAAAGTGTTTCATTGGGAAAAGGGGAGTAGAGGTGGATAGTTTCAGATATAGAATAAGCCACAATAATAAAGTTACTTTTCCTGGTGGTTTTTTAACCATGAAGCTTTTTTCCCCCTAAACAAAAAATACTTCTAAGCCCATGGTCATAAAATTCATACATTTGGGAGAAAGTCCAGGGTTAGGCCCAGGGAGAAAGGCTTTTCTTTTTCTATCACCTCCAACACTATTAGTACTTCAGGGTCTTCCTAGATTTTTGTCACCCAGGGTTATGGTATACAGTTGTGATGGGAATATCTTCTTTTTACTGAGCAATACAAACAATGAAGCCTTTGTGCTAAAGTCTTTTTTCCCTTCAGCTCTGAAATGTCCCCTTGAAGGAAAGGAAAGGGTGTGTGTGTGTGTGTGTGTGTGTGTGTGTGTGTGTGTGTGTGTGTGTGTGTGTGTGTGTGTGTGTGGTGCCCTGGAAATCTTTTCAGGCCAGTTCCTCACCTTCAAGCCTCAGCTTCCTGGGCATTGCCTCAGAGCATCTCCCTGATTGTGCTATTTCAGCAAGGCTGCTTCCACTCCCCAGTTTCTCTTCATTTTCCAATAGGTTTCTACAAGTCGTGGTTTTCTGATTGATTTATTTCTTTGTTCTCTTGTTCCCCTGCCCGGACTGTTAACCCCCTGAGGCTAGGAATTGTGCCAGTCTTGTTCACTGCTGTATTCTTACCACTAATGACAGCCCCTCAAACAAGGTGCTGTTTGTCAACAAATTTAGGGTCAACAAATAAAGGGTAAACCACAGATAAAATCTCTCTGCCCTCGGAGCATTTGGATGAATGAATGAACCTGAGGTATTACTCTCAGTTTGATAACATAAACTCAAATTGCTGGTGGCCAGTGACTTCATATATACTTACGAGTAACTACATTTTTTTTTCTACCACATATTATCATTGAGGTTAAGAGAGAGGTTCTGAGAAAGATTCGTAATGTATATACAAATACATATATAGAGTTGAAAGAGCCCAGAAAGGAACTCACATTTGCTGGTAACCTGCAGGATCGACTCGAATTCTGTACTTTCCAGAGCACCCTGCCAGGGTGGAAGCTGGTTTCCCCTGAGATTTCACACTACGACTATGAAATGGGCCAAGCCTTCTCTGCGGGCATGTCCAAAGCTGGATTCCAGAGGAGTCTCCCAAAACACTCTGTGAAGTTCATTAGATTCTCTTTCAATGTTGAACTGCCGGCATCTGTTCGTAGCAAACCCTGTGCGAAGACAACTATTCTGAGAAGTGGGGCTTCAAAAGTGAGCAGTGAAAGGAAACACGAACCCTGAAGGAGTTCCATCCCTCACATGGGGTAGAGAGCCAGGGGGAAAATGATGGG